CTCCAGAAGGTGGCTCCTGCCCAGGTGACGGTGACTTATCTCCAGAAGGTGGCTCCTGCCCAGGTGACAGTGATCTAACTCCAGAAGGTGGCTCCTGCCCAGGTGACAGTGATCTAACTCCAGAAGGTGGCTCCTGCCCAGGTGACAGTGACTTATCTCCAGAAGGTGATGAACTTGAGGGAATGGGTGACTTTGACTGGTTTGCCAAAGCAGAAGTGCTGTGTCTTCTCATTGTGAACACGGAGCTCCTCACGGGCATGGAGCCCACGGACGGACAGGAGAACTTCCCTGTACTCTGATGCTTCCACTTCAGTAGCCTCCTGTGGATCCGGGTGGGGTCCCCAGCGTTCAAAGGCATCTCATTTTCATAGAGGTCCTGGTCCTCACCCATCAGCTCACTGTGGTTTTCATCTGACTTCCGCAGGATGGTGCCCTGGGTGATGAGGTCTGCGTAGCCCTCGCGGTGGGAGAAGGCATAGCTGGAGCGCCGGGTTCGTGTCTCCCGCTGCAAGTGGGGCACGGGCTCCACCGTCATTTCCTGACTGGGGAACTCCTCTGCCTGCCGAGAAAAGGGGACAGCAGAAGTCGTCAGGCACCCTCTCTGCTGACGGCTGTGGGAGTCACCTGTCCTCCGGCGAACACTATTCAGCACGCTCCATGTGCACTGACTGGCCAGGCCCTTCTCTACCTTGGCTAACTGAGACCCTTCCATAGGCCTAAACTTTGGATCAGCCAATCAGAATCCTTCCCTGGGACTCAGCTCTCAAGAGGCCCGAGTCCTCTTCTGGGTCTTTTCTCCAGACTAGGGACCCGCTAGTGGCAAAGCCAGAAGACTGACCCTCAAGGCACTTCCGTGTCCATCTGTGTGGCAGAGTCCATGTGGTGAAAGCAGAAGTGAGCAGGTTTGTGGCCATGTTCTGGTCAATCACCCCAGTCACTTCTGGGTCCAGTCCCAGCTGCCACCTGACCCTTCCTGCTTTGGCTACAGGAGCTCTGAGGTCTCCCCCTTCTGACTCAACCATTTCAAGATCAGTTTTGTCACTTCCATCCCCAAGCCCTGGAGAACTCCGTCTGAAAGCCCCAAGTGTCAGCATTCAAACGCAGGCTGGCCTCTGAGGGCTCCCTGATGCCTCTTTCCCAGGAAGTGGGACCTCCTTCTCCGGCCACTCTTACGTGCCCTCCCCCTGAGGTTCACTGCACCTGCACCAGGGTCTCAGCGCCACACTTCCGTGCAGCCCTGGGCCTCCGGCTGGTGGGGTTCTGGGAGCGTGTCATAGCAGCCAGGCGCCAGGGTGGACTCACCTTGGTGTGTAGCTTGGTGACAATCTTGTGGATGACTCGAAAGGCCAGAACCAACAAGGTGTTGGTGGTCACATTTAGCAGGATCACCAGGTGGGCAAAGGGCTGGGACAGCACATTGTGGTCAGCATCTGGGGGCAGGGGCACAGTCACGGCCCTGCCTGGGAAGGAGGCAGCCCCAGAGCTTCGTGGTGGGGGCACCCTTCCCCGTCTCTGAGATGTCACTAACCCAAAACAACCAGTTTCGTGCGGATGCATAAACAGACCTTGTTATGGATCCGGCTGTGACCCCAAGAATGTGTGATGGAAGCTGCTGAGCTGAGAAGGGTCTGCTGTGCGCAGTCAGAACCCACCATGACTCACCCTCTCGTGGGTTTTCAGAGGCTTTAAATACCTGGGATGAGATGGCCGCTCCTTCTGCCATGTAGCAGCTGGTGGATTAGAACCGAGTGCCTTCTGGATTACCCCACAGCTTATCACTGGGGAGCAGGGGGGTGAGGGCGAGCAGGGGAGAAGTCATAGGGTGGCACCATTTGGTGGGTGGAATGAGGGGGAAGTCAAGGAAATAGGAGAGATCCAGTGAGATCTGTAATGACCGGGCGACGGGGTGGGGGACACAGTTCAATGATGATTAATCTTATAAAACATCACGCATGGGAATGATGATTGTATGAAACACAATGTGAATGAAGCAAAGTGTGAAACACAATGTATATGAACTTTGTAAGCAAAGCAATATAAAATAAAAATGTTCTAAAAAATAAAGCGTAATGTGTTGGAATCTTGACCCTTACACATGTGGAGGGAGGCTGTGCGGGTCTGTGGCTGATAACTGAAAGGTGGGTGGTTTGGACACACCGGCAGCTTTTGAGAAACACCTGGAGGTCAGCTCCTGTGAAAAGATTACAGCCCAGAAAATCCTACAGACACAAAGCGAACAGATCACAAAAATGGCTGGAAAAAAACACTGGGGGAAGCCCTGAGACAATGACCTTTACCCTGACAGTATGCAACAGAACTCACCCCTTCACCTCAACTCACCCCATCAGCCAAACAACAGACAATTATCTGCCAAACAACAGGCAACTGTCAGCCAAACAAGAGGCAACTGTCAGCTTCAACAACAGGCAATTGTTACCCAAACAACAAGCAACTCAGCCAACAACAGACAACTGTCAGCTCAACAACAGGCAACTGTCAGCCAAGGGGGCAACTCTCAGCCAAACAACAGGCAACTTACAGCCAACAACAGGCAACTGTCAGACAAACTAGGCAACTGTCAGGTAAACAACAGGCAATTGTCATCCAAACAACAGGCAATTGTGAGTCAAACAACAGGCAACTCACAGCCAAAAACCAGGCAACTGTCAGCCAAACAACAGGCAATTGTCAGCCAAACAACAGGCAACTCACAGCCAACTACAGGCAACTCACAGCCAACAACAGGCAACTGTCAAACAAACAAGGCAACTGTCAGGTAAACAACAGGCAATTGTCATCCAAACAACAGGCAATTGTGAGTCAAACAACAGGCAACTCACAGCCCAAAAAAACCTGCAACTGTCAGCCAAACAATAGGCAACTGTCATCCAAGCAACAGGCAACTCACAGCCAAACAACAGGCAACTGTCGGGCAACAACAGGAAACTATGAGCCAAACAACAGGCAACTATTAGCCAAACAACCAGCAATTCACAGCCAAACTACCGATAACAACAGAAAACTCACAGCCAAACAACAGGCAACTGTCAGGCAGCAACAGGCAACTCACAGTCAAACAAGCAACTGTCAGCCAAACACCACCACCCGGAGCTGCACGCTCCCCAGAACAAGCCACGGCACAAACTCCCAAGGACAGCGCTCGCCCAGGACCAAGCACAGAAGGCAGGCAGGGAGAGGGTAGGTGGGTGGGAAGAGTGTTGTTACAAAGTGGAGAGTTGTAAACTCAATGTGTCTTAACGGTTGAGTGGAAAGCCAATCTGCTCTGTAAACTTTCACTCAAATCACAATCAAAGGCTAAGCAGACTCTTCTGTTAAGGTAAAAAGGCCCTTGATGCCTAGTGATTTACCTAGTGGAGGGGTGATCGTGTTGGAGTCTTCATTCCACCCTTCAGCTGACCCTACAGCCCACTGGCTGACCACATCGGTACCTCCTGTGACTCAGGATGACAATATCTGACTCCAGATGCCATCATAAAGCCAAATCATGGAGAAGCATGGCCCAGCCGAGGTGACTGATATGCCAGACGTGACCCGCCAGTAAAGGACATGAACAGTAACTGTACCAAGGATGGATGGCATCCAAGCAGGTGTAGACACAGAAGGAGGCACAGTGGTGATGGATGTCAGGTGCCAGCAATCCTGTGTGTGACAGCGCGATGTCACCCGGCCCGGCATCACCCTCACGAGCATTTCCATGTGTGCATTCACTGCTTCAGCCCCTACATCAGTGCATACTTTCCCTTTTTTGTTGACCTTCCACCCCCTCCCCTCAAGCATAATGTTCTCAGAGACTGGACACTCCTGATAACACACGCAGAGGCTTAGTGGAGCACTCTGGCTGTCGTCTTTCTGAGGCAGATGTGTTCATTCTTCTGAAGGTCCATAGATACTAAATCTTCCTCTCCAGCACTGCAGTCCAAAGACATCAATTCTTCAGTCTCATTCACTGTGCGATTTTCACATGTATAAGAAGCAACTGAAACAACATGGCTTGAATCACGTGCTCCTTGGTATTTAAACTAACTTCCTTGTTCTTTAGCACTTTTGAGAGGTCTCTTAGGAAGCTCTGGTGGCCCAGTGGCAAGAAGCTGCACTGCAATCCCAGAGGTACGTGGTTCGAATCCACCAGATGCTCTACTGGAGAAGGAGGGGCAATCTCCTCCTGTACCAGTCAGATCTGATTTGACGGTACACACAAAAAAGAATAATTTTTTTAAAAAAAAAAACCAGAGGTCTCTTGCAGCAGATCTGCCCAATGCAGCACATCTTTTTACACCTTTCCTGATTGCTGCTTCCACGGGTGTTCATTGTGGATCCAGGTAAAATGAAAATGAAAACACCGAGAGCGCCAGTCGATCACGATGCTGCCTGTTGACCTAGTGGTGAGGATTTTGTCTTCTTGGTGTTGAGATGTGATTCATGCTGAAGGATGAACATGGATCATCTTTGAGGAGCATCAAAGATCCTCTTTGATCTGCTGCAGTAAGTGCTTCAAGTCTTCACTTTCTGCAAACAAGGCTGTGTCGTCTGCATAACGCAGGTTACTAATGTGTCTCCCCCCGATCCTGCTGTCACATTCTTGTTCAGGGAGTCCAGTTTCTGGAATGATGACCTCAGCATACAGAGTGAATAGCTATGGAGAAAGGATACCAACTACCCTGACACGCTCCTTCCCTGATTAGAGACCATGCCGTGCTCCCTTGTTCTCTTAGAACAACTGCTTCCTGGTCTGTGTACAGGTTTTCTGTGAGTGCAGTTAAGTGTCCAGGGATTCCTGTTCTTCTCAATGTTATTAGACAAAATCTGTTATGATCCACATAGTCAAATGCCTTTGGACAGTCAATAAAACACAAGTTAACTTCTTCCTGCTCCTGTCTGCTTTCAACCAAAATCCATCTGACTTCAGCAATGTGCCACAGCCTCTTCTAAATCCAGCTTAAGTTTCTGGCAGTTCCCTGTCGATGTTCCAGACATTTTTTTAAAATAATCTCCCATCAGTATTACCCTTGTGTGTGTTAATGATACCATTTGAGAACTTCCATATTGTTAGACTATCTTTTATAATTTTTTTTAATGGGCACAAAAGATGTCTTCCAGTAGTTTGGCCAAATATCTGTCTTCCAAATTTCTTGGCATAAACTAGTGAGTACATCTGATAGTTCGAACTCCACAACTGGTCTCCTGCCACTTACTGAAGCCTTATTTTCTTACAATGGCCTCGGTGTGGCTTGGACTTCTCCTATGCTGCTCCCTGAAATGATTCAGTTGATCAATCCTTACTTGATGCAGAGGCTCTGTCCCTTCACCTACTTTGATGGTTCCTGAGTTACTCAATATTTTTCCCAAAGAATCCTTCACTTCTTCAGTTTGCAAGTTTAAGGGTTTTTTCTTTCAGTTCTTTTAGTTTGAGAAATGCCAAGCAGCTTCCCAGTGTTTGCCTTTTTCAAGACAGTCTTTTGCTTTGCTTTCTTGCATTCTCCTTTGAGACCTTTGTTACATGAACTTCATTACTTCTTCCTGTCACTTTAGATTCTCACTGTCCTAGAGCCAGTTTCAGAGTCTTTTCTACATACATTTTGGTGGGCCCCCCCCCCTTTCTAATAAACAACATGCCTCCAGAAACTCTACGAACGTTGATAAATGTCAATAGTTGTAGAGGGACTTCAGGCCTTTTGTTCATAGGGTCGCTATGAGTTGTGTTCGACTCAAAAGCAGTCAACAACAACAACAATGACCTTTTGATTTCGTCATTTTGATGTCATGCTAAGGAGCCCTGTCAGGCTGCTAACCAAAAGGTCAATGGTTCAATTCTACTAGGTAGTTTGGGAGATGACGGGCAGTCTCCTCCTGGGGTGTCAGAACCCTTGGCTTTATCCACTGTGTTAGCCCCCATTGGGGGGGGGCATGGTCTCCAGCTACTTTAGCTGCAGACACATGGTCTTGCCAAAATCATCAATAGCTGTAGGACCAATAAAAGAGGGTGTTTCCCGCACTGTGAGAGGTGGTGGTGGAGAGACTGTGAAGACCAAGGTGGTGACAGTGGTGGAGAAAGGATGAAGAGGCTGTGGCGAGGTGTAACCAGAGGAGCCCTGGAGATGGAGCCACAGTTAAAGGTTTTGCCTGCCGGGTGACTGAAGGAAAAGTTGACTTATAAATGTTCTGAGATAAAGGTTTGCTGGGTGATCAAGAAAACCGGAGGCTTCTTGCATGTGTTGCTGAGCTGACCCTGGCCTTCACTTGTTGACTGTGCTTTGTTAATCTGGTTTGGGACAGCTGGACTACATCGGACTTTCATGGTGAGATGTTCTTTGCCTCGCCTGCTCTTTATTTCCCTAATAACCCCCCAGCTGTAAGTGAAAGTGTGAGTCTTGCAATGAACATCAGACCAAAATAGGTGCAGAAGCAACTGGGGTGGCACGACTATGTATTTATTTGTGACACCAAACTGATCCTTGGAAGTTAGGGTATTGATTGACACTCCGTTTCACATACTTTGGGCATGTGTTCAGGAGGGCCCAATCCGTGGAGAAAGGTGTCATGCTTGGCAGGGTAGAGGGATGAAGCAGGAGAGGAAGACGTTGAATGAGATGGATTGACACCGTGACCGGGGTCGTGGGGGCAAGTGTGTCAGAGTCAGTGGGATTGGCTCAGGAGAGGGCAGGGTTCAGAGTCCCTGTGCATTGGATCACTGAGTCACGTCAATGGTACATAACAATGGATATTATTATCTTTGGGTGTGTACCATCAAATCAGATCTGACTGGCACAGGAGGAGATTGCCCCTCCTTCTCCAGCAGAGCATCTGGTGGATTCGAACCACATACCTCTGAGATTGCCATGCAGCTTCTTGCCACTGGGCCACCAGAGCTCCCTTGTTTATACTTCAACTTGTATATGAACAACTGATGTTCTAACCCACTTGTCCACAGCCTCTTTCCTCGGATGCACTCAGTCTGTTTCTATCCAGTGATGTCCAGTTGTGTAGATGTTGTTTATGTGACTAGCATGGAACACGTCATTGGCTGTAAAAGGCTATCATGCCATCTCCAGCCCATTTCAGTTACCCAGGGCTGACTTTCCAAATAACCATCCTTCCTCAGGTCATGCCAATCACCAGTTAGGGTTTACGCACTCTGACTGCATATTTGCTCAGTTTCCGGGTCCAGAAGTGGGTAGGCGTTTCCTTTTTTTTTTCATCTTTTATTTAGTGGCCGGTGTGTCATTCAAATACTTGTATCAGCAAGTCTTCCTTGCATTTACATGGAAATTCCCCTACCACTGACAGCACTGTACTTCAGGCCCGATGGTAAGAAGTTCATTCTTTATTGAATGACCGTGGTGCCATTTCTCTTCTAGTTGTGATTCCCGGCACCGCTGACCAGGCTGCTGTTGTTGGGTGCTGTCAAGTCGTCCGCCTCGCATGGTCACCTTGTGGGCGGTGGCTCTGAACCCTGTCCCGCACCTCTTTACGACCATGGGCTCAAGGCCATTGTGGTGGTCACGTGTGGTGGTCACTGCCAGTCCATCTCCTCGAGAGTCTTCCCTCCAATGTTCCCAGCATGACGTCTCTCTCCAAGAGGAATAGTCCCCTGAGAATATTCCCAAAGTAAATGAGACAAAGCCACCTTGGCCTCTCGGGAGTGGCCTGGGAGCCCTTCCTCGAAGACAGCCTTGTTTGGCCGCCCCCGAGCTACTCGATGAGCCTCTCCAACGCTGCAATTGTCAGCTCATCAATCCTTCTTCGGTCGGCTTGCTGGCCTGTGTTCGTCTGGAAGTTCTGCCGAAGCCTCCCCACCATGGCTGGGTCTGCGGGGGTCTGAACACCGGTGACACACCTCCCAGCACCACAGCCACACATAAGCCACCAGGGAAGCACAGAGAGTGAGGGTGCTGGGATGCGCCCACAGGCATGCGCGCGCGCACGTGTGTGTGTGTGTGTGTGTGTGTGTGTGTGTGTGTGTGACGGAAGGCACAGCACAGATCCTCCTCAAACAGAACTGAACGCCTGAGACTGGCTGGCTCGGTCTGCGGGGCAGCTGTCCACCCAGCACAGCACAGCTGGGAGTCGGGGACGGTGTCCGGGCTCCTCTAAGCTTGTGAGCAGAGCATGAGTGCACGTGTCAGAACCATAAAGATGGTGAACTGTGCCTGGGCAGGGCGGAGCCAGTGGGGGAGGTCCACGGAGGTCCACAGCGGTCCTGACGTGCAAATCGGTCATCCGACCTGGGTATGGGGGTGAAAGACTCACCGAGTCATCTAGTCCCTGGTTCCCTCCCAAGTTTCCCCCAGGACAGCTGGCGCTCTCACACGACACCCCCCCAACGCAGTTTTATCCGGTAAAGCGAATAATTTAGTGGTCTTGGGGCCGAGACGACCTCAACCTAGTCTCAAACTTTAAATGGATAAGGAGGCTGGCTTGCTGGCGTGGAGCCGGCAGTGGAATGCGAGTGCCGCCCTAAGGACAGCCGCTGGTGTCCTTCGCCCCAGACGAAGAAGAGAAGTCAGAGCTTCAGAGAGGTCAATCCACCAGGCTGGCAGCTCAGCGGCCACGACTCCATCTACCCGAGACCAAAGGTGACCAGTGGCCACCACTGTCAGACCCGACCACGGACACGATAAACGGCCTGGGTGGAATGCAGGAAACGAGGACCACGGCCTGAGACGCTCGTGAAGCCCTGAACCCCAACACCTCACGGACAGCAAGTCACCAGGGAAGCCGAGCGTCACACAAAGCCCCCAGTGACCTGTGACCTCGGTCCACGAACCGAAACAAACACGCAGCCTCTGCAGGAGCCTAGAGGGTCAGCATTTAACCGAAAGCCAAGATGGGATGTCGGGCAGAGCTCGGGAGGCTAGAGTCCTGGGAACCTAAGGACGGAGCATGAGACAGCAGGGAAGGCCCTGGGGCAACGGCAGCTGAGGTCACGGTCAGTCAGAGTGGGAACCTCAGAGCGGAAACTCACCAACAAGGCCAGAAGGGTCGCTGTACTAATTACTACACCCAGAAAGCCCCTCGGGCAGCCTCCTGCTGGGGTGGCTGAGTGCTCGGGAGTTCCCGTGGCCGGGTGGTAAGGAGCTGTGCTGCCAACCCCAAGGCATGTGGTTCAAATCCACCAGCTGCTCCACGGGAGAAAAATGGTCAGTGGCCTCCCATGCGATTACCTGCCCCTGAAAACCCGCTGGGGGGTCAGCCACGGGTTGGGCAACGCTGCCTCACCTGTGCTTAACGACATGAACCAGTACTGACCAGGTGGGCCACAACCACGTGGGCACAAACACCTGGGTGTGAAGTCACTGGGTGTGAAGTCACTGGTGTGAAGTCACTGGGTGGTGGCATTTCTGTGGCGGCAGCCCCGGCGGCTGGCACAGGTGCCCGTGTGCGGTGGGGGGAGGGGCTCTAAGTCCAGTCACGTCCCCGCCGGACATGGGGGCGCGCAGGGCTGAGGCACTTACACAGAAACGGGTAGGTGAAGGGTGAGATCTTAAAGAGCCACAGGCTCTGAGTAGCGAAGGTCACGACCACGTAGGAGGAGAAGCTCAGGAAGATGGACACCACCGTCAGGACTGTCCAGTACCTTATGACCAGCATCACCTGCCCAGAGAGGGAGGACTTGTGTCTGGGCCCCCACGCCCATGGGAGGGTCTGTGGCCCCGCCTTGAGGCTCCCGGTCCTACCTCCACGGTAATGGACAGCAGGGCTGACAGGGCCAGGATGACCCCGAAGGACTGGTAGTCGCTGAGGCTGTGGGTCCCTCCTGTGTTGTAGCAGGCCAGCAGGGTGACGAAGAAGTTGATCAGGGAGGTGAGCAGGCCATGGCCCAGGGCTTGGAAGAAGACAGAGTAGTTGAAGAGCTCATCCTTCTGGCCTGCCGTGTACAGCTCCGGCCGCTGCAGGCTCCTCTCCGCACTCACATCCTGGTGGAAGGGGAAGGGGTATGTGGAGGCAGGGACACAAGGGAGGGAAGGGTCCTGGGGCACCGTGAGTGCCCACCCGGCTCTGGCCCCTCACCCTGTGCAGCTCTTGTACTAAAACTGAATTACAAAGAAATAACGAAGTAAAACAACCCTGCATTTTAATCAACGATTCTGCAGGGTGGGAAAATCCTGATCGAAAGGGGGGCATGTGGAACAGAATTTCAAATTTTAATGGTATCCATATTTTCTTGTCCTTGAGGCTAGATGCACTCTCTGAGATAATATTTTTTTAGGTTTTTAAAAATTCTTATTATTATTAATTTGAATGAAAATTTCAGAGACTTTGGATTTCCATTCATTCATTGTACTTTTCTCCCTGCCCAACCCTCCCCCCACCCCCAGTTCACTCTTCTCTTTGAAAAGTAAAAGAAAAATTCTTTCATTGTTTTACAATCCCTCCCCCAAGT